TGGGTGGGCCACTAGTGTAGGTGAGAAGTTTGTAAGGTATAGGGGACATTTAATGTACGTCTGTACGCAACGATCAACCATTGCTAACGAAAACACGATTCTGAGCGGAGTTCAGTTTATAGTGTTGCTTTGTCGACAATATATATTATGTCATTATGTCATATTATTGTAAACTAATTACATATGTAATGAACATTTTCTTTAGAGATATATTTTGTTTAATATATTTTCCCGTTTATTCCTACGTTTTTTTCTGATTTTTCACATGTTTTTTCCCGGTTTTTCTTGTTGGTGATGAAAACACCTGAGAAAGTAAAAAAATTATCTCTCTAAAGTACCACTCCAAGAAAATACCCTTTCAGAAAAGATTCTACACTTGATATTTCGGATCAAGATTTCTAGTAGAATTTATTTACACAGTATGAAAAAAAAAAAAAATAATATCATTGTTAAACCAATACATTCCTCGTTCCGTTCTTAATCTAAAATATCGTACGTGCTTGGCTCCATAATGGGTAGGCTACCTGTAATAGGCGAGAAGTTAGAACCGTATAAGATATAGGGTGGTTTAATTTATATACGAAAAGCAACGACACAATCAAATTTCAATCAACAGACGATTTCGAGCGGAGTAAGTTTAGTCGCGTATTTCCTCTCGTATAGTCAAGGTAATCCAGGAATCAACGAAAATAAAAGCGATGCGTCGACATTTTATGCGTCTTAAATTAACTCGCACAGAAAGTGAATACGTCCAAAATGAAAAACATAATATTACCAGCTGTAAGTAGATCGAAAGTGATGACAATAATATTAAAAACAGCGTATTATTTTCGAAAAGCTAAAAATGTTATCTATATAATAATATGAATGGAGTGCGTGCGTTGGGCGTGCTCTTTGCGGTTTTAAAAAGGATATCGAACCGAATTATCGTAATTTTTTAATCACTGCACGTTGAGATAATAAACGTATTTATATTCTATATACAAATTGTAAATTGTTTTAAAATATATATATGTACACATGACGTTGCATTTTAAACGGTTTTTAAGACGTCCCCGGGTTTATGCACTTTCTTAAAAATATTATCGCGGTCGTATAAGAGATTTTAAAAATTAAAAACAGTTCGATTATAATAATAACATACGCAAGTAAAGAAATGCATTTTTCCTACATAACGATTCATTTTTTTTTTTTTTTTTACCGGTGTTATTTATAATCCGCGACACTGCAAACGCATTGGAACAGTCAATGATAATCGAACTTTGTATATAAATATAAATTGATCCATTATGATAATGTTATTTATTTCAAAGTTAGGTCTTCTTCTCGGCCCTATGTAATGCGCTGAATCCAAACGATTTTTCATCCTCCTCAAAGTGCATCACTCACATTATATAAGTGTGTATTAAAATATATCAACGACATTTAATTATTAATTACACTATTATTATGCGTTTGAAGAAATCATATTGTTCCTATATCCGCACTCCACGTGAGATTACTCAACAATGACTCGTTTGCGGACCATATACGCGTATGCTTGTTGTACGAGGAGACAATGGTATAATCTATAAAATCGCGTGGACTCAACAATACATATTATCGTTGTAAAAATTTGTTCCAACTAATACATTTTTGAAAAGAAAACGTGATGTTTAGAACGTGTAGATTACTGTAATCTCTAAATGGAGGGTCAGACGGGAAAGTATGAGCAGCCGACAGAGAGAATTAGAGGATGCACGAGGGGATAGTCCTGGTGACCGATGACGAAAAAAAAGAAGACTCGGTCGCCATCCTAAAAATATCTCTAACCGTTTTTAAAAAGTTTTAGTTCAATAACTATGTTAATTTAAACAATCAATTAGTTAATCATTAACGAAATAATAATAATAAACGCGAGTACCATGAGCTTCGTCACAAGAGTAGAATTTTCCCCCACTTATTTCGTAGATACACTATAGGAATGTACTTTTTAAAATAACAAAAACAAACCGAATACTATAGTTATACTAAACTATAACTTAATAAATTACTTTTAGAGACGCCGGTTGAAATTTGAAACACCTAAAAGGCTAAAAGGCACATATGTGATTTACTATCTTTGTGCATACACATAATTTCATTAGCTTTATTGGTGGAGAGAGGGTCAGTAGAGACGTTGAATACCGATAGTCTTAACCAGTTTACCGTCTCCCGCTCAGAATCGTTTTTGTTCGTAATGATTTATCGCCGCTTTCGGGATACCTATACAAACCAAATTGCCCCATGATATTAATGTCCTATAGCGTTTCCAAACGTTCCACCTACTACAGTGGCCTACCCGGTTACCCACATTGTACGCGATATTTTTATCAGAATTTTTGATATTTGTTGTAGGTACATCATATTATAGAATACTACACAAATATCCACAAAAAGATAATACTGTTTCAGACGGTACACAAAATATGATTCGTCGAACACAGTATTTCGACTGCAACGAGTCAACGATTCAACATGACTATTAATCATATTATTATAATAATGTATAACTGACGATACCCGCGATTGTGACGGAAGAATAAAAATCAATTTGTCTATAATATAATTTATGATAAGTAATATTTCGACGCATTCGAGGTGCAGAGAGAGTGACGATCGATTTATTCATGATTGTTGTGACCGTACATGTCGAAAATAATAATTGTCAAAATATTATGCCACTGTAAAATATTGCAAACTCGATTATTCTAAAGTTCCGTATAAAAATACATGAGGTTTTATCCTCTTGCTTCTTCGCGGTTTAATACTGAATGTTTTTCGATCTACACACTTTCGGTTGGTGACGTAGCCAGAAAAAAAATTGAGGCTGGAGTTTGGGGGTTAATTTCCCAATCCTCCCGTTCCTTTGAAACCATAAATTAATTAGATACAGTTAAAAATCACTTATATACTTCTAATTTTATCCGCCGAGAAATAATAACAACGTGTACTTTTTAAACGCTTTAAAAACCTCGGTCGTCTGAGATATTTCGGGGTTGGTGGGGTCATAACCCTGTAACTCTCCCCTCCCAAAATAAGTTACTGTTCTCATCGTAAATTTATTTCGTAAACGGTAACTTATCATATTTGTTTGCTATACAAATATCAAGCATCAAATTCACTTTGATAATCGCGTCATATTATAATAATAATGATGTATAGGAAACAAGAAGTGATATTTCTTTACGAAAATTTCCATGACGTTTCTTTGTCCTAAAAATGAACCCCGCGGTTATAATAATGCGAGAGAGACATTTTTATCTCACACTTATTAAGCGAAGGCACACGAATTGAATGTGAAATGAAAAACTCAAAATATAACGTGCGAAAGAAAACGCGAATGTTAACGACACGATTAGATTCAAAGAAAAAAAAAAGTAATAGTACAAAAATAAAAAAAATAATAATAATATATGTCTGACGTCCCCATCTAAATGTTCTTAAACTCATAATGTTTATAATATTAAACGGTATAGTGAAATCAGAAATATCTCCAATAAGAATATTATTATTTTTTAATTTTGATTTTACATTACGCGAGTTCCATAGTCCGGTATTACACAGACTCAATCCTTTAACAAAAAGAAATCAATAAAAAAAAAATTCTCGCATTTCCTAACCTTATCTAAGTATGTCACAGTTAATTTCCCGGTAAAATATCTTTTAAAAATGGTACTTTTCACGGTCTGTGACCAACAAATCAAAATATAATTACGAGTGATTTTTTGCTTATGTGTCGCCAACTCATAAATAAGAAAAGCAATAAGCTAAAAACGGCCGATTTTCAAAGTTCAATTTAAAAAGAACGGACATACTTCGCACGTGAGTGCACTTTTGTAGATGGAAAGTTGGGAAGGTAGGATACAGACGGGAATTTAATGTATATCTGTAAGAAACGATGAACCATTGCTAACGAAAAATCGATTCGAAATCAGTTGATAGTATTACTTTGTCAACAATATATATATACATATGTCATATTTTGGTAAAATGATTATAACAATGTGCGTTTCCATGACAACAATGCGTGCTTAAAAAAGATTTAAAATAATAAAAACTTAATAATAACAAAAAATATATAAAAACGATTGTCAATAACAACCTTATTTTTTAATCTATTCTAATATAAAAAATTGGGTTTTCTTCATTATTTCGAATATAAATGAGAATAACCTCTTTAAATTACCACCCATAGAAAATTTTCTTTCAGAAAAAATGCTATACTTGTTAATCGGAGTAAGCCTTCTGGTAGAAAAGTGATCACATAAGTAAATAATAATAAACATCATTGTAAAACCAATATATTTCTCGCTCAGCTCAGAATCTAAAATCTTCACTCAATGAGATATTCTTTTCTTTTCTTTTTCTTTTTGTTAACTGACGCGAATGCGAAAAAAAACATACGATCGCGAATATTATAAGTCGGCACTCGACCGGGGAAAAGTGTCGCAACCCCTATTTTCCGTATTCTATACTCGATAATAATAAAAAAAATACTGTCGTCGTAATATTATTATAATCTACGGGAATCGTGTCTGCAGTTATCGAAACGGAACAACAAATTATTATTATAGGTGAACGAAAAATACGGCGGTCGGAAAGTATGCTAAGCAAGAACGGTGTCAATAATATTATATCGAACCTACGCCCGGACTTTGTGTCGTAGGTATACGCGAGCGATTATTCGGTAAATTCGTCGGTCGGTCGTCCCGGTAAACGACGAGAGTGGTAAAATATCGAAATATTAGCATATAAACGGTGTCGGAAGAAAAAAAAAATTGTCTACTAATAATAACGATAATGTTGTATGGGTACGCGCGGCCGAGGAGTGCGCGCATTGAGAACATCGAAAAATGTGCCGCCGCCGGTGGAAAGGAATAGGATAGGAACCGGGTAACCGGTAGATAGAGAAAGTCCATCGCCACCGTCTTCCGGGGGTCCAGACCGACGGCGGCGGCTTCGAAAACTGACCGGCGCGCCGAAGTGGGGGCCCGGTATATAAACGCGGACCGCCGCGTCCTACCCATCATACAGTTTTCGAGTATCGGGGCGTCGCATCGAGTGCTTTCAACAGGTCTTACCGGCGAACGAAACAGAAGTCCATAGGTATACCATATACCTATACCCACGCATCATCACCGACACTGTACCGCAGCCACAATCATCATCAACATGAACGCTTTGAGGATATGCTTTTGCGTGTTTTTGACCGCCGGATGGGCAAGCAGCTTACCGTCCGGCATGGACTCACAGGCCGTCGGTCACAACTCCATCCAGGGCAAGGAGGACCTGTTGGACGGCATCTACAGCGATTGCGTGGCCAAGGGATCCGTCACCTGTATCAAGTACAAACTGTTCGCATACGTTGACAAGGCTCTCAGCAAGGACGAGATCAACTTGACCGAAGGAGTGACTGTGGTCAGGACTTCCGGAAGCCCCGGCGACGGTGCCCCGCGGTCTTTGGACCTGACCGAAGACGGACAGCCCAAGGACGTCGACTCTCTGGTCGTCAAGCGCGTCCAACGGTACCTCAACGAGCACTCCATCAAGGTCGACATTAGGGGAGCCGACGTGGTCAACGCCGTGTCCAGAGCCGGAAAGTCCGTCAGCGACGTGATCAGCCAGTTCGTCGGAGACGATGAAGGTGCAACCGAAGAGAGCCGTGGCAAGAAGAGTGAGTATTCTTTGGTTAATTTTTTATTACCTTAATCAGTTAAAGGTTAGGTTTTTGATTGTATCTACCTGCATACGTTATTTTGAACATTGCTAATTCGACACGCAAGTCAGCCCGCCCGTTAATTTCCATTACTTATTTCCGGTTGAATTAGTATAAAGTTTAAACACTAATAGTTTCGAGCACCTCTATATTATAATATCGCTGAAAAACGACTTGTTGTTATGGCACGCGAGACGATTGCCGCTGCGAACGGGTTGTCGGCGCTTAACGATAATTATTTTACATTCAATTAGCCAAATTGAATTCTTTATTATTATTTATTGCTAATCGTCGCATAACTGTTCGTTTCGATATTATAATAATATTATAACTGTACACGTATCCACTTAAGACATTGTGCCCACGGTGTTCAACGGCAAGCCGAAACCGGAAGTGGGGTAAGGGGCTTTCGTTGAAAATTCGGGCACGAAAAAATAATCGACCACACAAAAACGAAACGACGAGGTGTCTTCAGATCGATTCCACGATGGCGAGGGGGGCCGAAATATAAAATAAGTTCAACGATATTTTTTTTTACTCGAAATTACTATTACTACTTAATAATTGACATTTATATAACAGATATTTTGTGACAATACGGTACGAAATATCGTCACCCGCTGTCGGGGGATTAGAACTGTGTGCGGGCACTCGCCGTTAAGCCGCGGGGCGATTCGCGGCGGTAACCGCGGTATCGTCGTCGGTAATGACCGACGATTATACGCCGCGGTTGCAAAACGGTCACGGCCGCCGCAGGACACAACAAACAAAACGATAATAATAACGAGAAAAATATAAAAAAGAAAAAATATATATATAATGACCGGCGTAATCCGCGGCCGGGACCTCCGGGCGGTCGTTCGCGCGCGCGCGCTCGCCGATATCATCTCCCCACGCGCGGGATATACACCGCTGACCCGGTTACCGGTTAACCACACACGAAAACACGTCGACGCTTAGCTCGAAATAATAATAAAACAACAAATCCCGTACAGGTACGTCGTTATTATTTACTACTCCCGGAGGGGGGGGGGAGGGTAAGACTTTCTATATAAAAAAAAAAATAATAATATTATACGAGCGCGTCAATCAAATCTCGTTTTCGCCGCTCCGACAAAACGCGTCGAGACCTTCTATATAATATGTATTTCTCTTCCCGGACCGGAATACATCTGTACATACCTATACAATAATATCGTATTATTTTTTTATTTTTATCGTATATAAAACAAACTAGAGAAAATAACACGCACACACACACACACACCCGAACGCGTAAAAGTTCTACGGGAAACGGACTATAGAAAAAATCCTAATAAAATATCGTGCAGCACGAAATAACCGGTTTTTAGAAAGTGGTCGCCGCCGTCTGCGACCCGATACCCGGGTCTACCGGACATAAAAAAAAAAAGACGCGCCTTATAATTTTTTAATTATACGGCTTGTGAAAAACGTGTGCGACCCGCGGGGCCTCCCGAAATACGATATCCGCGTCCGTATTTTTTTGTTTTCTCTCGCATCATAACGACCGGTCCCGGGTTTCCGTCCGAATCCGCCTGGTATCTTTCGTCGCACGCGCCGCCTGACCCGGGGTACCGAGGCCGAATCACAACCCGGACCATTCGAATTTAAAATTATCGGCCGACGCGTTTAGAGGGAGGCGAACACCCTCCCCTAGGTGTTCCCTCGGGTACGTCACTGGCTCGCACGCTTTATTATTGCTTATAACACGTACCGTTACATTATATTGTTCGTTTTACTAACAAGCCAATGGTATTTTTTGCGTTTTGCAGAGAAGAAGAACAAGCAGCTGATGCAACTGTTGATGCTGTTGAAATTCAAATTGGCTGCCCTGTTACCGTTCATCCTGGGAAAGATCGCCCTCATCGCCGGAAAAGCCCTGTTACTGGGTAAGATTGCTCTGGTCATCTCGCTCATCGTCGTCCTCCAGAAGGTGCTCAGCCAACAACACCAGAAGACGGTCACCTACGAGGTGGTGCCGCAGCCCCACCATGATGTGCACGGACACGACGCATACGGAAGCGCTGCCGGCGCCGACCTTTCCGGAATCCCGGCCGGCGGAAGCGGCGGATACGGACCGAGCGGATCCACCGGTGGATGGGGACGCAGCATGGATGCCCAACAGATGGCGTACGGTGCCCAAGTGCCGTCCCAAGGCGACGCCACATTAGCATAACACACATGGCCGCCGTTCATCGCGCTCAGAAATCCTGACGAAAAATCAAAGTTCAAACGAGCCATCGAAACACACGAGCCGCCCGTCCGCTTACCACCCCTCCCAACCCAGAGGTGAGCCGTGCGCTCGTCACCACTTATTATAATAATATTATTATTATTTGTACATTATACTATCTATTTATTATTTATATATAATATTTATATTGCGTGCGGTATTTAAATCGTACTGTTTGAAACGTTATTACTATACTACGATGTTTTCGAAAAAAAAAACTTGTGTTGATTCATTTAAAAAAAAAAAAAAAAAAAACAAACCCTAAGCTTGATTTCCACGAATACAGTATAGAAAATAGTGTCTGTCCGGGTAAAAGTCGCAAAAAAAAAAGAATTACAACGATGCTTTAAGAGAATCGTGAAATGTCCTTTTTCTTCTTCTTCACTGCGCCCTTTAGGCCATACCCATTCGTCTACAGTGACGCGACCAATGGACCGTACAAATATTAGAAACACTGCTTACAAATTCGCATCTTTTCGTCGTACGACGAAATCGTTCTTTAAATTCGGCCAAATCCTCCCCCCCCCCTCCATCGTTCCGTCCTCTTTCGACAAACTCCGGTCTCTCCACCGCTCGTTTCTTCGTCTCCTCCGTCTATTCCCGGCAATATTATTATCCCTCGTTACCACCGTCCGAATTAAAAATAAAAAAAAAAAAAAAAAAAAAAAAAACATAATACGCGGCTACTCGACGCTTTCGATATCGGCCGCTGTACACGTTCGTAAACGACGGCTACTGTACGTATCAAACGGTAATACGGTACGCCGTTTAAACACACAGGCGAGCACTCGATATTAATTCGACGATGAGAATACAGAACGATTCCGCGTCGTTTAACGAACGTAAATATTTAATTTGTCGGTGACGGTGCACGCCGCTGCGCGCTGTTGTACTCTCGAAACAAACGAGCGTGATGAATTATTATCATTATTTTTATTTATTTTTTTTTTTTTTCATATTGTTATTTCAATTAGATATCGTTATGAAATCGTCATTGTTGTTGTTGTTGTTGTTCCCGATCGCGAGCGAAACGGGATACACGTCAGTGGGAAAATATCGTACAACGGGGACGGACAAATCCGAACTGCCGCGGCGAAATATTCGCACGTTGTCACAAAATAATTGTTATGCCGGCCGTATAGAAAAGAGACGACGGGGTCGCCGTCGTCGAGGTGTTTCGCGTCGACAGTAAAATATTATTCGAACGACGTCGGGAATATTATTAATGTACGGACGCGCGACGCGTACGAGATTCGAATGGGGGAAAAAAAAAAAAAATCAAATTAAAACGGTTTTAAAAACCGCCGCGAAACTCGTTTTCGATAACGTACGCCGTGTTACGAGTGTGGATTATTACTTATTTGTTGCCGTATCGGTCGGGAAACACGTTTTCTAGGTCAGCGCGCACGAGCGTATCTCGGACACCGGCGTTAATATACGGCGCGCCGTTTTATAGTAATATTAATGAAATTAATCCTGTACGATTATAATATTATTATACGTTTTTTTTTTATCATTATTATTTTAACGGGAAACCTGCCGGACCGTTGCCGTCACACGCGTACTCGCGCGACCGGACTCGCCTATGGTGTTGTCGGGTGAAACCGCGGTGCGACGACGCCGAACGCGCGATAATAAAATATTGTTGCCACGGTGTGTGCGCACCGGTGTAGTGTTACATCCGTCCGAGGAAAAAATCGAATAATTGAAGATATTATTCGTTATTTCCGCGGTAAAATCTACATCAATATGTCGACATGCTCGGATAAAGTCAAAGAAAAAAATAAACGATTTAGACACAGCTCATAGTGTAAGTAAACGAAAAAACTGTGACTGTTGTATTATCATATAGTTTCACTGAGGTCACTGCATTTTGAAAGATAATCGATATTATTGTCTAGAGATAAAAGATAACGGATGGATATTTACAATGAACGAATAAAGATAAAAAATAATTTTCAGTTATTTAGTTAACATTAAAAGATAATAAAAAAAAATGTATAAAAAGACGGACATACTTCGCACGTGCGTGCAGCCACTGTTGTAGGTGGGAAGTTGAGAAGGTAGGATATAGAAGGGAATTTAATGTAGATCTGTTAGCAACGATAAACCATTGCTAACGAAAAAACGATCCTGAGCGGAGTTTAGTTGATTCTAACTAATATAAATCAGATTTCAGGGGACACACTTTTTAATTCAATTGATAGAGTTATTAGATTTGAATAGCCAAATAAAAAAAAACCTATGGCAAGCCGTAGCTCTTTATACGTTACTGTCACTATTTACCTTATACATTTATCCTATTCATATCTAATAAGTGTGATCACTAAAAATTACATATCAACACAAAATAAATATAAATAAAAATTTAAACAATTTTACTAACATAAAATAATTTAAAATTAATACCATGACGTATTGGTTAGATTCATCTCATAAATTGATTATTATCGTCTTTAAAAATATTTCTACAATAAAAACTAATACACACAATATCGAATTTGGTATACACATTTGTAATTCAGAGGACGCACTTCGTGACAGGCGACAAATTATTTTAGGACCTGAGTTGATAGTGATACTTTAGTATAGAACAAAGATTAACAGTTAAAAGAATGTAATGAAATCGAAATTTATTTTATAAAATCGGTCTATAGTATTGCTTTTTCAACAATGATTGTTTAAAAATGATATTTAAAATAATAAAAACCTAATAATAACAAAAAGTAAATAAAAACGGTCGCCCGTGACAACTTTATTTTTAATCTTTTAATTATAAAGCGTAAAGAACCAAGTTTTCCTCATTATCTCGAATATTAACGATAATTTCAAAAAAATAACCTCTTTGAGGTACCACCCAGAGGACATTTCCTTTTAGAAAAGTCACTATACTTGAAAATCCGAGTAAGCTTTCTGGTAGAAAAGTAATCACATAAAAACAAATAGTAATAATAATAAACATAATTTTAAAACAAATAGATAGGAATTTATACACGAGCTCCGCTTAGAATCTAAAATGTTCCATGTACAAATAATACATTTTGAGATGAGGTTGGTAATTTTTAGTAACAAGTATCTAATAACATTATATTTTTGTAATAGGCATAAAACTTATTTTGACATATTTGTGATTTTATTTTAACTGTTTTAAGTAATGGATATAGGTAATATAATACTCATGATTAGTATTTGACGTCCGAAATATTTCATGTGAAACACCGAATATTTTTTAAAACTAATGTCGATGATAGTTTTTCATCAGTTAATAATATTATGGTCCACGAGTATCATTACTATATCATTGATATACCACACATTGAATGCCGTGATTGACAATATATTACTTATCTGAACCCGGGCACTTCGTCTACATCCCGTTTTCGGCCGCCGAGTTTCCGGAGGAAAGATTTAATCAATGTTATCATTATTATATTTATTTACTTCTTTTGTTCTGCTAGTTTATTGAATGTTTTTTTTTTTTTGTTCGTGTACAACGTTTGCGTTAATCTATTCATTGTTATTATATTCTATGTTTTTATTGACTATGAATATTTACCATGTTTCTGATTGTTAATGAAATGATTCATCGCTACTTTCAGTCTATAAAATGATTTAATCTTTACATTTTAAATACCTTTCGAACGTTCCACCTACAACGGTACAAAGTGTTTGGATTTTTATTCGTCATTTTATATGCATTCAAATGCATTAAAAACTATGAGCTAAAATTAATAACAATTAATATCAATATGAAATCATATAATTTCGCGGAAGGTAAATAAACTGTCAATAATATACGGTACGACAAAATAATATTTAAACAACAACGGTGGTGGGGCGGCAGATGAGTTTACGATTTCTATCGTTTCGGAACGGAAAAATCCCCGAGTGATGTAAACTTTCACATTTCGTCTGTATTTTTGTACGCGTTTCGAGTCGTATAAATTCGTATATATATATACTGTATTCACATCAATATTTATACGTTTGACGAAAAATCGGTATCATTATTTTTTTATCGACCCTAAAAGTGTGGTTTTTCTTATGGGGAACCTATATTTTCGTATGTAATCGTTAAAATTCTTGTTCCCTCTATAGGTATTCGTGATATGCCCTAACCATCTCAGTTTATTTTTCTGATTTTGTAGACTATATCAAAGCCACACCTAAGCTACCCCTTACGTACTCATTACTCATCCAATTTTCTCTCGTCACTCCATTACCTATTCACCTAAGCATTCTCATCTCTTCTACACTCGATTCTATTCTATATTTCGGTCTACCGCCCAACCCAATAAATGCACCATACTTGGTACACCATAATCGGTCTCACCACATTTTTGTAGAACTTACCTTTAAGTATTATTGGTCTCACGGGTTGATTTTAATTTTTTGATTCTGAGCGTATAGCAACGAATGTATTTGGTTGTACTATAATATTTGATGTGTATGATTTTTGTTTCTATTTGTGAACAATTTATAAACTAGAGACCTCTCCCTCCAATCATTGGTAAAAAATAAGTTCGATATAGTGTAGTGCTTTTTTTAAAGCGTTTTAAGATCAATTTTTGACGAAAATAGTAAAATATACGGTATTTCAAAACGTGTACAACCGAATTTCGCTTAAAATCATAATTTGTAAGTAATGGTTAATCGTTGTATATGGATATACATTAAATAACCTTTCCATTTTCCCACCCAAGACAGTTGTACAGTCGTTTTTTTTTTTGGTTTGGTATTCAACAAGTTATTTAGCTCAATAGTCGCAGTGACTTAACATTTTCACTAACTACGTTTAACAATAGACATTTTTAGACGTTTTTAAACATTTTAGAGATTTTTGAACTATTTTTAGTCATTTGAATGGTTTTTTTATACCCCTAAACCAATTGTGTACCATAAATCTTGGTCCAATCAAAAAATGATAAGAGATCTTTTTTACTGCATTTTGGATTTAATCAACACGTCAACACTATGGTTAGACCACTGTTATTGATGGACAGGTGGGAAAGTGGAATAGGTTTCACATAATAAAAGTAAGGTGATTTAGTTTATATACCTATTTATTGTATATTATGCAAATATAAATAATTGCAAACGAAACTCAATAGCACAATAGTATATAGTATTAGTATTGTTATACTATTTCGTCTTGTTGCCAAGGTAGCCCAGAAATCGACGAGAATTTAAAAAGAACCATGGGGTCAATA